GCGTTAACGAAGATTCTTATAACGAAGTCCTGATCGGCTGGATCAGCAACTTCGTTATATCGAGGTGTGACTGTAATTATAATTTAAATTTAAAAAAAATTTATCATTTATATATGTATAATAACTTTTAAAAATAACATAATATTAATTTTAATTTAATTAAATAATTTATCTTAAATTTTTTATAAATATCTCATAAAATTTATATAAGAATATATTTATAAATTTATATAATTTTATAAAATATTATCTTATATAAAATTATATAATTTTATATATAGATATTTTATAATAAAAAAGAAAGAAACTATTATAAAAATTATTTTATTTTATATGTTAAATAAATTTAAATTTAATATTTTTCTCTCTTTTTATTATATTTTTAACTTTATATTTAAAATTTGTTAAAAAGAATATAATATTATTAATAATATTAGTTAAATAATTAATATGAATTATATTTATTTTATAATTAAATATTTAAAATTTTATTTATACGAATAATTAATATCAAATGATGTATTAACATTATGGTAGCAATCAGAATTCATAAATATTACATATATAAATATAATTTTATTAGTTAAAATAAATTAGTAAAATTAAGAGTTCTTTCATTAAAACTTAACAATCATAAATGTTAAAATTAGAATTATATATTTTATTTTCTTTTTATATATTGATTTTTTTTTTAAATGATCAGTATTAATAGTATATATTTAATTTAAAGTTATATTATATTATAAAGAAAAAACTTAATTTTTACATTATTTTTGAAACTATTATATATTTTTATATAATTAAAAAATTTGTTTTTCTATCATATTTAGTTTACCCTATATAAATAATAATGATTAATTGTATAATATTATACAAATTTCCAAAAAAGGAAATTTTACTTTTCAGTAAAATTTGAGATTGAGTTTCAAAATCAGTTACACAATTTCTTTTATGAATATTTGTATAATATGGACATAATTTAATTTTGTTACAAAGTAATAGGCTAGTAATTAGTATTATATTAAATAATTAAGTAAAAGATTTATAATATAATTTTTATAATCATAAAATAATAATAAGAAATTAATTATAAATATTATTTAAAATTTTTAAATTTAAATTCAATTTTTTTTAATTTGAATTTTAATTACATTATTTTTAAAAGTATCTGATCAAAATTTTCAAGATTAATTATATTAATTAACTAAAATTTTTTTATACAAATTTATAAAAATAGAAATTTAGTTTTTAAGAAAAATAGGTTAAGGTTATATAATTTAGTTATGTAAGTTTTCTTTTTAAAAATTTATATAATATCACATAATCTATTTTACTTATATTTTAAGATTATTATTATTATATTATTATATTATAATCTATTTATATAATTTATATAATTAAAATATTTGTATGTAATTATAAAGTTTAGATTACATGTATAAATAATAATAGTTAAGTTATAAAATGTTATATAAATTCTAAAAAGAAAAAATGTTTCTTAACAAATGTATTATAATTATGCAAATAGGATAATAAAACTGGTATTTTTCAAAATCATCTAATTTTTTAATATATTTTATTTTATTTCAGGATATTCGAATATTGAAATCAATTTCGAAAATTCATTTCGGATAGCAACTTGATTTCAGAATATCAATTATTTATTTTTTAAAATAAATGAAATAAATAAAAATAAAAAAAAGAATATGAAAAAAATAAAACTAAAGCTTACCTAATCGAAAAATTTAAAAATATAGAAAAAAACAAAAAAAACAAAAGAAGGAAATTGCGAAAAAAAAAAAAAATATTCAAAATCGGATATCCGATTTTCGATATCCAAAATCATTTCGTTATTCGTTTGAAATTATTTTAAAAAACTTGAAATGCAAATGAACAAAGCCCAAATCCCAATTTCACTTTAAACCATTTACATATCAATAAATTTTCACAATTTTACGAATATTAAGGTTCTAAATTTATTATGTTTATTGATTTACAATTGTTATAAATTTGTTATTGTCAACCTTGCATAATTACTCAATTCGTTTTACATAATTCTAAATCACTAATATCAGGACATAATTCAAAATATTTGTTGGTGGATCTCTTCAAAAACCATAAAATAAGAAGTTCTCGATCCTGAATAAATCCATCATTATTAAAATATTATCGGTAAAATTTTAACCGAATTTTCTTTCTAAAAAAATTTTCATAATAATATTATATAATTTTCGAATTAGAAAATTTCATGCCACTCGAATCACAAAAAAAAATATTTCTTTTACCCGTTTTACCCAAGATGATCATATTCTCTTTGTAGGTAGGTAGTGTCTTGGTTTATTAATATTATCTTGTAACCATTTCCTTTTCAAACTACTAAATTAAAGTTGAAATTGCACTCCGGATATACTTTTCTTTTATATAACTTTTCAAGTGAAAATCTTCAATAAACCAATTTAAGTATTATAAATGAAATCATTTTTTTAACGATCAACTTAAAAGTATTAGAGCTCTTTTTTTTTTTTTCCTATTTATTTTTGAACAAAACCAAAAACAAAAAATTATTTACTTGATTAGAATAATTGATTCAAAAAAAAAAAGAAATCGTAATTTTCTAAAAAAAATGTCCACTTCCGAATCACAGCATCCACAAAATCCCAATGTCAATAATAATGATCCAAATGGAGGTAAGTTTTAGTCATGCTAATACATTAAAATATAAAAACTTAAGATCCGTTTATTTTTAGATGATATACAGTAATTAACTTTAACAATATAAGTGATGGAAACAACATTAACATTCCGATTAATCAAAAAAGAAAATCTTATCAAGTTCGTGCTTTGGTACGTAAAACCAATTTTAACAATAGAAAGAAGGGCGATTTTATTCGCTAACTGAATTCGCTTTCCTTTTTGATATTCGTTAGGCTAGAAAAACTGTTTCGTATCAAAAAAGACAAAAGTGTACAAACTTCTGTTGTATCACACTTTGCCCTATGCTTATGGTGGCTATAGCTGGTATTTTGGGTATTGTAATTCAAGGGCTTATCGATGAAGCAAGTTCATCAGACGGTAAGTCATTCATTTTTTTTTTACATTAGCTTTCCCAATGATTAACAATCATCTCCGTCATACAGTATATCCGAAGTCTGGATGGTTTGGGACATACTCGTTGGCTCAATATCAAACATTCCCTTGGGCTTTTGTTAGAGATGCTGATGGAATGGATTACGGTACTAAACCCAAACTTGCTCCCGTGTCAAATGTTGATGAATTTTATCCTGAAAATACAATATTATCGCAGTCTAGCGGTGCGTAATTTAAGTTGAAAATAATAATTTTTACTAATTTTTTTTTAAAAAAAAAAAAAAGTGACACGGATCCGAACTTTTTTATGAATTACAGGATTGCTTGGACAAATTGATACGGATTATTACGCAAACGTTACATCGAGTCCTTTTGGTTATAACGTATCCTCATTTCAACCCGTTCCTTTCTTTGATAAAAGACAAGGATCAATTGAAGATTTCGATAATTTAATATCGGACAGCATAAGAGAAATCATTAATGATTTAGCTTTAGTTGATAAATCTGTTATTGAAATTTCAAAAATTATAACTAAAATGCCTTTTGGAAGTGTTTTATTTGATAAAATTGATCCTTTATTAAAACAATGGGATTACACTTTGCAAATCGGTGATGATATTAGGATTAGTAAACTCGCTACCTTTCCTAGTCAGGGATTACGTAGAATGATCCAACAAAGTCAATTATCTAATGCGTTCATTAAGACCGTGAATCATACTGGTTTGGCTGATACAATCGCCGATGTAAAAATCACCCCCACTTATAGAATTATGCCATATCTAATGTCTACTGCCATTGTCAAGTCTAGTGGTACCCTTTTTGGTGACATTCTTTACCCGTTCGGTATTTCATTCCTATTGCCTATCTTCGTGATCTCCCTCGTTAAAGAAAAAGAAGAACGTATCTTAGTCATAATGAAAATGAATGGATTGAAAAGTTTCGCTTATTATTTGACTCATTACATTCATTTCTATACGTTACATATCATCACTTCCATTGTATTTGTTATAACCGGATTATTCTTTCGTATGGAGATATTCACTAAATCTCAACCATCAGTATTTATTATTCTTTTGTTCATTTGGGGTCACGTACAAATCGCGTTGGCGTTCTTATTTGCATGTTTTTTTTAGTAAAGGTAGGACCGCTTTGATCGTTACTTTTCTAATAGTGTTGTGTGGTGTTATCGTCAGTTTGGTCACCGCATCATTATTTCAAGGTCGAGAAGGTGCACCACAACCTATTTTTTGTGGCCACCTTTTGCTTTCTACCGGGCATTATCATTGATTAATGAAGCTAGCGTGCAACTTACTCGGAAACCTTATACATTAAGTGATTTAAAGTGGGGTAATGAGGTATTAGTTGCCATGATCTCCTTGGTGATAGAATATTTCATCATCATGTTATTGTCGGCTTACTTTACCAACGTATTACCGTCAGAGTACGGTGTACGTAAACCATGGCACTTTATATTTACCGATTGGTATACTAAAAGTCAAATTAAAAAGGAAATGCAAGTAATCGAACAACAATAAGATGCTGCACTTGAAAAAGGATTAATTGCAGGTGAGAAAAAATTTAAAGAAATTGATAAAGATGAAATCATGCTTGAAGATGACGATGTTAGAGAGGAAAGAAGGCGCGTACTAGAGAATAGATATGACAAAGATTCTCCTTTGGTCGTGAAACGTATGAGAAAAGTTTATCCTTCTGGAAAATTAGCCGTCAAAGATGTTACTTTGAGCGTTGATAAAAATTTGATCTTTGGATTACTTGGTCCTAACGGTGCAGGTATGTAAAACCTTTAAGGGGGGAATTTTAAGAGGTTGAGATTATGAAAAGGAAAAAAAAAAACGATTTTTTAAAATCTTGTGAAGAAATGCTAATCCATGATTATGAAAACAACTTTAATTTCGATCCTTACCGGTTTGTATGAACCAAGTTCGGGAAGTGCCAAGATAAACAACTATGATTTAGATACACAAATGGATGAAGTGTACAGAAGTATTGGAATATGCCCACAGCATGATATCTTGTGGGATGATTTAACGGTACTTGAACACTGCCTCTTCTATGCTCGTATCAAAGGTATACCGGCCAAGGATGAGTTAGTCGCAGCTAAACAAGCTTTAAAACAAGTTCGATTGGAAGATTTTGCGGATCGATTATCCAAGGGACTTAGTGGTGGTGAAAAACGTCGCCTTTCTATTGCCATTTCATTGATTGGTAATCCTGTCGTTGTATTTTTGGATGAACCTACCACTGGTCTGGATCCAGAAGTGAGAAGATTAATTTGGAATATTATTAATGAGGCAAAGAAAGAAAGAACTATTGTTTTGACCACCCATAGTATGGAAGAAGCCGAAGTTTTGTGCAACAGAATAGGTATTATGGCAAAGGGAACCCTTAGATGTATCAGACCTCAGTTGAGATTAAAAGAAACTTATGGCAGAGGATTCAAATTAAATTTCAGCTGTAAACCTAAAAACGTCCAAAATGCCACCAGGTATGTGCATTAACGGTCTGACAACTGAAAGTGTTTATATGAGAATGAGATGCTAATTGATTTATATATTAAAAATATAAATATAGATATATTGAGTCATTATTACCACCAACTGCCAAAAAATTAGATTCTTTTACTACGAATGTCTCTTACGAATTTGAGGCACAACCTGGACTTATTGCCAAACTATTTGAAGAAATTGAAAAACATAAAGCAAAGAACGATATTGATGATTGGGGTCTAAGTCAAACCAGGTACGTACAATTATTTGACCTTGAGGACAAAAAATGAATTGTTGCTTTGTTTGGTTATTAATTAAAAAATTTCTCGTTAGTTTGGAAGAGGTTTTCTTGAGAATTATTGGCGAAGCCGATGCTGAAGTCGATTAAATTCGTTATTTCATTTTCAATTAATAATTATTATATAAGAAATTGATTATTTGATTACATTTTTAATATGTAATTTTTATATAATAAAACTTAATTGTCTTGATTATAAAATCTGATTAATTCATTGGATGTGTGGAGATAAAAAGTTTGTTAACTGAGTTCATACTAATATTAATCTTTTATCATTTTCAAATAATGTATAAATCGATGTTATAAGGAATTTTTAATCTAATTTCATTCACAATTTAATCAAATCAGTGGGGATTGAAATTCCCACTTGATGGATCTTTATTTCAAGGATCAACGTTTTATTGCAACGTGATCGAATTAAATCCAGATTTAATAGCCCCAAGTATGGATTTTTCTCATAGCATCTGTTTTGAACAAATAATATTTTTATTATTAAAAATTTAAACAAACTCGGTAAAAAATACAGTATATCATTAAATTTAGTCGAAAATTTTCTTTAGATCGACATCAAATATGCATATAGAAATGATCTTCATAAATTACGTATCAAAAGTATCGAGCGCTTTTCTTCCCATGACAAACAACAACTCATATTGACAAGACAAAAAAAAAAAAATGATTTAGTGAACGAACTTTATTAACATTTAATATTTTTTATATTGTTTAGAAACACCAGCAAGGACGTGTGTATACATTTTTTTTTTTTGTTATTTTTATTAATAATATCTATGTATTTTTTTTTTTTTTATCAAATAGCAAACGGGCGGGAAAGAGTGTGGGCTGGGGCATAGCTGGGAGTGGGTTTAATTACTAGCTGATAACAAGCAGAGATATGGCAGTTCGCCACGTTTCGCTACCAAGCTGAAGGTATGGAGGCTTGACGGTTACCTTGGTGAGGGGATCTGCTTCTTCTTTGATGTGGAATTAGCTATGCTTTCCTTACGGACCAATCATATTGGTACTCGAGACCGATAAAATTAGTCACAAGGCCTGACATGCCTCTTGCACGATCTTCTAATATTTCAATAATCTTGATTTATAAGAATCGCATTTAAAGTTTCAAACCTTTATATTGCGTCTAATCAGAAGAAAATTTTTTTCTTTTGATTTGGATTTGGCCTTCAAATAGTTTGGCGTTTTATCTTTGCCTTCGCTATGTGTGTGATCTGATTTTGAAATTTTCAAAGAAATTTTCAAAATCTATCATACAGGTGTGATAGATTCTATCAATTCTCTGCCGCACTACTCTTATGGATCAATAATCGTTCTGGCTTCTCGATTCAACAAGCCACTACCGTCGTAAGTTGATTTTATTTATTACTTTCTGATCTTTGGTCTTGTCATATGAGTTGTACAATTGTCCTCGTATAATTACGGTAATAGCAATTTTTGTAGTAGATGAAATATATATGTATATTAAATAATGTTCTCATGATTTTTTTTAATAAAGTTATTATAATGTAAATAAAGTTTCTATTGCCGCGGTAAACTTTTAATTTCTTTGATTAGTCTTTCTATAATTGATTGGAACCGGCTTTATTTTTAACCGCGTTTAATGGTTAATTATTTTCAATATAAAAAACACGTGAAATTTTACACCATCTCGATCAAAAATGCATCATTAACTGATTATGGAATAAAAAACGGATCTCAATAGTTGAACCTTTCAAAATCTCAAATATCTTATTTCGGATATATATCTAGTTTACAAATATTAAAAATAATAAAGTTTTTTGGAAACGTTTTTATATTTTTAAATTACACGTTTAAAATAGGTTTTTAATAAGCATTACCTATTTATTTTATATTTAAAAGTAATAATTTTTTAGTGCCAATGGAATCCAATGGAATCGTCGGATTCTGCATTACCGCTGCTTGAATCAGGGAGTAAATGGATAAACTCTTGGGAACGCGAACGAGAATACATGTTGGCAAATACTATGAAATATTGTAACGAATTAAATAAAGAGACCTGATAATGAGATATTCATCTCTCCTTATAAATTAATGATTTTCGTGCGGAAGGAATTCGCTTTCCAATGGGTTATGTTTTTTGAATAAAACATACACTGTATATAAACAAATAAGCATACGTTGGTTTTTACGAGTATTTCGCACCTTTCCTGTAATAGGAAGCTTTTATATGTAAAATCAAAATTCTCTCATTTCGCGCATAATTCTTAAAAAAACGGTTTTTGCTAAATAATGTAGGTATGATTCGTATGATTCAAAAAAAAAAAAAAAAAAGCGCAAACCGACTGCACCTAGTAATAATATGGAATAAAGAAATTACTAAGCAACAAACTTTAATAGTAACTTATATCTTCATTATCAAAATGAACGTTTACATTATTAAATTTATAAAAATGAATTAATTTATCCGACATTTTCAATAAAGTTACGCGTCACCATAAACATATGAAATATTGTACCTTGTGTTTACACTAGGGATTTTTGTCTAAATAATAGAAATGAAATCGATTATACTAACGTCGGTTATATTCATCAATTCTCATCGATTGGGAAGTTTGTCAAAAGAGTATATGGAAAACCGGTACGGTACGATTGTGCAGATAAGTATTTTTTCGCGAAATTTGGATTGTACCGTACCGTACCGTACTATTATAGGACCAGTATGGTATGGTACGATGTCAAATTTTGCATTTTTGTATTTTTTCTTTTTTTTTTTATCTAATATTATTTTAATTTTTTTTTTTAAATTCCTTCCCAGTATATATATATTTTTTTAATTGATTTTTTTCTTTTTTTTCTTTATTTTATATTTTATATTTTTTTTTAAATCCACCCCGGACTTTTTTATTTAATTTTATTTTTTTTTTAATTAATTTTATTCCTCTTCTACCGGACTTTTTAATTTATTTTTATTTTTATTTTTTAGTTTGTTCTTTTCTTATTAATTTTTATTTTTATTTCATTTATATACTTTCGTTTTCATTTATTTATTTGATTTATTCATTTTTTTTTTGCAATTCTATACTTTCGTTTTCATTTTATTTATTTGATTTTTCATTTTTTTATTTGCAATTCGTTTCTTTTTTACTTTTTTTTTATTTCTTTTTTCTTTTTCTTTTTTTATTTTAGATTTTTTTTCTTTTTCGTTTTTTTCAAAAAAATAAAAAAAAAATGAAAAAAAAAATAAAAATAAAAAAAAAGATTTCCGCGGATATGGCATTTACAAGGAATATAAAAAACTTCATTATTAACGATGAATTTCAAAATAACAAATTATTATTTTTTTATTATCATATCGACGCACATAAAAAATTGTAATAAATTGTGTATACATCTTATTATATGATACCTACAAAAAGATAAAACTTTCAGATTTCCCAATTAAGAATTTACATATCAAAAAATCATCGTTGCATGAAAAGTTATTTTTAATGATCTCAGCAATTCATTTCAATTTATTTTTATTTCTAAGACTTGTTCCTTTTTACCATCAACTTGTTCACACTTTAATTTAAAAGCAAACTTTTGATTAACTCAAATACGGGTCAAAAAGAACTTAGTATGGATAACTATAACTATGCATATTTCGATTATTACTAGACTGATCTCATTGGACCATAAAACCCAGGTGGACGTTATCGTTGTTGAAGCTCAGGTTCTTTATGATAAAAAGACAGACTACTTTTGGTATGTTATGAACGGCAATTAATTACAGGAACATATATGTACCATCAACCTACATATACTCCTTTTGAGAATGATCATCCTTCTATTTAGGTGAATCTTTAGGTTAAATGACCTGCGCTTGACACGAAAAATTAGTAGATGTGTTTGCTAATACTGTAGAATCAGCGACTTCACCTTGACTGAGTTTTTCCAAATCCTGTGGGTGTGGGCATCCTGGTCTTGTTGTCTTGTTAGACATACATAGTCTTCACCATGAATACAATTGTTCCCACTATCTGGCTTAGTCACCCAAAGCAAATAGCATGGTTGATTCAAAATTGCAGTTTGCTGCTCCAAATAGTTCGAATTGTTCTAGGTCAACTTTTCTACATTACTCCTTTAAAGCTTGCACGATCACCAAACGACTTTTAAATTTATGATCCTGTCATCTACAATTCATTGAGCCGTAGTATAACTAATAGAAAGATAATGGCAAAATGAATGGTATAGAGCTCAATGAAAGTTGTCCAAATGAAATCATCATTGGGGAGTAGAAAACTTGCGCGAAAGTCAAGACATGCAAATAATATTCAATACCTCTCAAATGCTGGGCAAGAATCAATTTTCTAAAAAGGTTGCAAGGTTGTGTGAAAATTTCTGGCATGTTTGTTATGTGGATGATTTCAGCACTGTTATCATCCAACGGCCTAATAAGGTTGATATAAAGTTGGTCTTACGAGGTTATCCTGCTGATGCAACTGCGTCAATTAATGTTTAGAACTGTATGTAGCGTTTATAATCTTAACAAAATTCTTTTTTGTTTACGATGGATCATACATATTGAATGATTGAATGTTAATGCCTTTCCATCTAAAGTAATATAATAGCTAAAGTTGTTCGCAATTCCTATTTGAAATATGAATACCTGATTCATTTAATATTATAACTTTTTACAATACCAATACTATTGAATTTTTAATATATGAAAAGTAAGTTTTCCTGCATTATTACACCTAACGGTAAACAACTAACACAAGAACCATTATAAAATTAAATAATTCTTTTTTAATTTTATAACATAACAAATGTCTAAAAATTAAAAACCAGATTTATTGTCTATTTGTTATCAAGTTTTGCCTTTTTGCGCAGAAAATTATTTAGGATAATAGATAACAAAAGAAAAATTTGGCGCATTCTGATTCACACATTTAATTTTTTTATACCATATGAAGTTTAAGTTAGTGCAATAAATAATATATTATAGATGTTTTATTTATTATCTTAGTCGCAATTGTGCTTTAGCTTTCTGTAAATAACCTTGCATAAGTAAATGTATTATTATGTAATTTTACTTTCATCAAAAAGAGATATTGACTGTCCAGTTATTTAAA